GCGCGTTCAGACTTCGCGATCGCGCGATCCAGTTCGCGCGCATTGGTACAGTGTTTTCGTCGGAGCATTTTGAGCGTACGCCAGCGTCCTCTTTAGCAACAAAGATGGTATAGATGTCTACCTAACGTTGCTGCTATCCTCACACTTCTCCATTCTCTCTAAAATAATCATTCCCAGTCGCTCAAAACGCTATCTGCGCTCAAACTGCTAGATCGACACCTATACTTTCCTAGTCACCCAAAACATTGAGACGCTAAAAGCGCTGGCCTACGTTCAAAATGCCCAAAATGCTGCCGTACGCTCAAAATGCCATGCAAAATATGAACACACTCTAGACTGTATATAAAAGTTATGTAACTTACACTTCCTTGGCGGAGACACGTCAGAGTCAGAGTCATGACGGGCTTTGGCTGTAACAGAGCACATCAATAACTTTCCCATTACCTGCTTCTCATAGTTACTATGCTGATGGGTTAATTTTGGAAAATTACGACCTTCTCCCGCAAAAGTTGCTTTCCCGGTACTCCCTTCCCCGTTCTCCATTACATAACATAATCCTAAATTTTTCACTATTTCAACCTGCATTCCCGTAGTTTTTTTCCCGAGAATTCTCCACTTTTCTCAGCAAACTGCCGTCAAGCTAGAGGGAGGGGAGAGGGCAGTTTAGGGCACGGGAAACGAGAAAAAACCTAGAAAAGTTAAAAACCAAATACGTTTTTCTTGATGCCAATTACGATCTCTCCGCCCTCCAGCGAATAACTACGATCTGCTCGCTGAGGATGCCAACGTGCGACCTGTCCTGTTCACAACGCTCTCGAATCGGTAGAAAAACCCGTATCCGGTCCGTTTCAGAGGACCACAGGACCGTAGAATCGAAAAAATCGGCGAAAAGGACCAGACACGAAACGACTTCATTCGTGTGGAGAAGGGGGAAGTCAATTCGTACCTATCCTTTTCTTGGATTCTACAGATTCCTCAGTTCTCTATTTTGGCTTCTATAATAGTTGTCTATAGTACACCAAAGCCGATGTTGTCCTCAAAAAAGTGGAATAGCTAGAGTATACTGCCTAATCTTCAGAAAGTATGGAGCAAAAACTTACCAGGTATTCGTGGAGAACTGATAGATTCGGGTCTTTGAGCCTCCTAAAAACTAAGTACTGGAGTGTCGAACTTTGTCGCAAATCTCTCCAGCACTCGAAAACATACCACTATCAGCAGCTGATGGTGAAGACGGCTCCTGTTTGATTTCATCAATCGGTTGAAAGGACCTTTTGAACTTTGGCGCTTCTCGGGCTTTCGCCTCCACCTCAAAATTACAGAGGCGACGCGTACATTAGCCAGAAGGATCAGACCACATACCCCGCCAAATCACGGAAAATGGGGAAGGCGTGACTCGCGTATTTCAAGGTGTCGTCTACTACTTTGGTGAGATATTTTCCATTTTGTGACATTTGTGATTGCTTTGGTTGTCAGCATCACAAGGCAGGATAAGTGGTCTCAAAATCGGAAATATCGCACAATGAACGCATTCTAAGCAATGTTCAAACGACGTATGCGGGCACGCCCTATCCATCTCTGGGACGTGTAGTGCATAGAGAACTGAATATTCATTCAAACCTGTCGTGTAATACTCGCTATGATTTCAATGTCTTCTTTTTCTTCATCTGTGTCGATATCTTTGTAATTTGCAGAAACTGATATAAAAGCATCATCTTCCACGATACGCAACGCCCTCTGGCACCCTCGGTCTTAGGCCCGCGATTGTCCGTTGTGATTTGCGTGGTCTTTCGCGGAGTTCACTTGTTGGCTCGGCTTCTGTGCCGCTGATGAGAAATATTAAATCATTGTTGTGTTAATGGACCGCTAACTGTGGCACATACTACGCCAAAAGATACCCCGATCCGCGAGCTGGTTCCTTGACCTTTTTCTTCTTCTTCTTTTTCTTCTCTTCTTCTTTTCCACCGGAAAGGTATCTTTGCAGGTATTCAGCTTTGGATAACGCAGTGGTCATTCAAAGTTCTGAAAAAAGTGTGAAATCTGAATCGAATCTGAAAGATACTTTTTGATACAGAGCTATAGCATAAAGTATGGACACCTATGAATAAACGAAGACTGACAGAAAACCACAGAGCACTGTGTAGTTCCAATTCATCATTTATCAAGAAAACAAAAGCTTCTCAGTCTCGATAATTAGCCGAGACTGAAGTAGCCAAGGAACTTCCCGGAACAGTGATTCGCTTGTGAATGGAATCCTAAGGCCGCGTTCATACACAGCGCCTCCGTGGCCTCCGCGGAATTTTTAGAATAAGCAAAGTATACGTATCGATTCGGAAAATTCCGCGGAGGCCGCGGAGCGCTGTGTATGAATGCGGCCTAAGAAGGCAGTGATGGTGGCTCCGAGTTACAACGTTCACGACTGTACTTCACTTCCAAATGAACTTCACTACGACTGAAAAAAGCCGTTCATACTCTGGGTAGCGTTCTGAGCGACCAGGAAGGCATAGGTCATCGATCCAGCGTTTTGAGCGTCCGCCAGCGCCTTGAGTGTTTTGACCGACTAAGAATCTGTAGATATTGATACTGCTGAGAAATGCTGGGGAATGCTCGAAACGCTGACGCCCAAAACGCTCAAAACGCCGCCCTAAGTTGTTAACGCACTCCAGGCCCCTCCCACTTGTGACTTTCCGTTGTTCTCTTCATACTCCATTGCAACGCTAAGGAGGTTTTTGCGTTGTAAGGCGTCGACCGTGTTGCACTTTTTCAAACTTTTGCCGACCATTACAGCGGTACGAGGGCTAGCGGTGAGGCACAGTCGCGCGACTGAATCGGCCGATTCGCGAAGTATGAATGTGGTATCGAAGAGGGACCACCATTCTTGAACCTCCACGTTTAGGCATCGAGACAGGACAGCCGGAATGAATGCTCTCATACTTCTAGTCGGCGTTTTACTACCCTTTTCGCTC